ACTTTAAAAAAAAAAAAAAAATGCCCTAGCCATGCGCTAACTCCTGAAAGCCCAGAATTTTTTTTCAGTTTCACGGGTGACTTGGTGCAATGTTAACTGCATACAATTCTAGAGCATAAAGTACTGCTAAAAGGGTGTGCAAACCTCTTTCGGCCTGGACTCCCTTCCCTGGGATCTGTTTGTATGCGAAGTTCCGAGAAGCAAGCAAACAGAAATCAAGCTTCCAGTGTGAGGAGGCGGGTGCACACCCAGGGATAGAACCCTTATCTTTATGTTCTGTCTGAGGTGGTGCAGGTCACTTGTGCTATACCGGATTTATCTCTTCTGTGGACATATTCCAGAAACGGGAGTTACTCTACAGAATATCTCTATTCAATGAACATGTTATTTTTGAAAGGCTATCTGGTTTGGCTGCAAAAATTCTAAAGGACCAAGAAAATTGCAGTTGAAAAAAAGATCCAATTTATAATCAAGTCTGGGGCTTCTAACTAGGGGTTGCAGAGTCGGCCCTTCAAAAACTGGAAAGATGAGAAAAGTACCTCAGTCCCAGTGACACAAATACTGGTGGTATCAAGATACTTGCTGGATTGCAGAAAAAAGTCAAGAAAAGCCCACTACAAGTTTTTTTTTTTCTTTTAGAAAGATGCTGCATTTCTTCCAAATTATTAAATAATCAAATAAGTAGTGTGATAAGTACCAAGTGCTGAACCAAATAACTCATTTCATATTAAAAATATCCCTATGAAATACTTTATTCCTTTATTTTTTTAATTTTCTTATTGATACATAAGAGTTGCACATATTTTCATGGTACATGTGATAATTTAAGACTCATATAATCAAAGAAAGGTAATTGAGATAAATATTTAAAGTGAAGGATGTCGAACTTTTCAGAAGAAGAACCTAAGGATCAGAGTGGTAAAGTAAACCTAAGGTAAACCAGGCGGTAAGTGGTAGAGTTGGGATTTGAACTCATGCAGTCCAGTCCCAAAGTTTACCCTCTTGTCCATTATAATACTTATGTAAGTGTAATCCTGAGGGGAAGGAGAGGAAAGAAAGGTCAATGTTAGTCTCTTCCCTGCAATCATAAACTCTTGCAAACCCCATGAACTGGTCATTCCTTTAAGTGGCTGAATCATTAAATTCATAAAATGAAGACTGGGCCATTAGTGGTTTGATACTAGGATAACCAGTGGTATATTTTGTTACTCTCACAAGACAAAGAAAGTAACAAACATTTGCCAAAATAGTCTCTATCCACAAGACCAGACAAATATTTTGGACACTTTAGAATCTTTGTCAACCACCCAAGTAGAGGCAATGGAACTCTAACATGATTGGCATACCTCATGATTATTAGAGACATCACATTTTCAAGGTTTTTAAAAAATCCACAACCTTGCTGGATTATCTTGATCCTAAATATCTTCGTCTATAACTACCAAATCTTAAAACAGGAATATCCTTGTCTATAACTACCAAATCTTAAAATAGGAGAACATGGTTAATTATCTTTTACAAACAGCATAATATTTAATGAAATGAGTTCGTGTCCTCTCAACTGAAAATGACATTCTGTTCTCCAGAAAATGTATAGAGACTGTTAAACATACAATATAAAGTAAAATCAAAGGAAGCTACTACTCACACATATACCCACACATAAAAATGCAATAAATATCTTTATTTACATAAATACATTTTCCAAGTATTGCTTATTGTCATGCTTCTATCACTATGTTCTTGTCAGTTTTACTTTTCTCAGGTGTTAAAGCACGAGAAACCAAACGTTTACAAACATTTAGAAATTTTAAATATAATGAAAATTATTTAAAATCAATCACCAGTGAATCAGAGGTGTCCAACAAGAGATTCAAATTCCAAACTACCGTAATTTTAGTAAAAGACATTACCTGGAGTTTGACATATAAAGAACATCAGTGACTTATGATGAATACTAAACAAACTTTCCATGATCTTAGCAGGGCAGGCTCAAGGACGTGTACTGAAACTTGAGCTAAATTGGTCAGTGCCTTTGAGTTAAAAGTGTATGCCAGTAACAGTGAACAGGAACAGTCTAAACAAGATGTGTGCTGTGGAAACAAGATGGCCACTGAATATTCACTATGCTCAAATACTGCATTCTATTTAACTTTTGATGATTTAAGGCAGCAGATCCAAATAAGAGTACCAAAAAATCAAAATAATCATAGGCACTTTGAGAAGACTACACAGAATGCATATCAAGAAACAAAAAAAGATGTCAGTGCTCACAGAATAGGTTAAAAAAATACCTTTTAACATTTCTATTATAAAAATAGAAGTGTTTTCTACTGTTTACCACGGCATTAATCTAAAACAGAATTGCAACTACAAAGCTGTAACATAGTCATAATAATGCCTTTCTGTATTAGGAAAGCTAGAGACTGAGTTACTGAGAACAGATGTGAAAAAAAAGTTTCCTCCTTAGAATTTTCAAAAATCAGGTATCTATTTTCATTACAGTAGCTTAGAAATCAGAAGGAATGAATTAATGAATTAAGA